TGGGCACAGGGTGTCCGGTCGCGACTTGTGTTGAGGCGAGAACCGAGAAACCTACTATACTCTATATACGGCTTTGCCGTTTAGCCGGCATGTTGTGCGAGTGTGTATGTATCTACGGCTCAAGGAGACTGTGCAGCGAGACGAGTTTTTCGCCATCGCCGCGAGCAGCAAAGCCGCCCGCCGCAAACAGCCGGAGGCATCGCCACGGCACTGACTGCGCCGCGATCCCGCACCCGTCGACGAAGCTCCCCCCGCGGGACGCTACCCCCCCGCACCCGTCGACGAAGCTCCCCCCGCACCCGTCGGTCTTCCGCGCCGCGACGGCGGAGCACGAGGAGGCAACGGAAACGCTACCAATGACGCGAACCGAGGCACGGGCGACGGCGGGGACGGGGAGGGCGACAGCGACGTCGAGGTTGACGCAACGGTATCGAGAGCGCCACCCAAAAGGAGCCGGACAGCCATGGAGGTCACCGAATGGAGGGCGAACGGCACAATACGAAAAGGCAGGGCAAGGCGGATGGAGAAAGAAGTGCCGAGGAGGCCATGGTGGAGGGGAGGGACGGGAGGACGAAAGAAGGGCGAGGAGGACGAGCGGCCCGCACAGGCCGCGAACAGACAGCGCCTGCTGGCCATCTCGAGACATTCGCAAAGAACGCTAGCTACATGGGAGGGCTTCGTGAAGGATGGATTGAAAAACATTCGAACAAAGAAGAGGCGACGGGAGGAACCAGCAGAGGATGCAGTGACGTGACACACACACACACACACACACACACACACACACACACACACACACACACACACACACACACACACACACACACACACACACACACACACACACACACCGCTCACCCACGCGCACCGGGCCTTGCACTTTGAATGGGCCGTGGGGCTCCTGTCGTTAGACGTGGAGACGCGAGGGTTGCCCCCCCTTGCCCCACCACCTCGTGTGTGTGGAGAAGTTTACCTTACCTTAGAGGGAGCGGACCGTGAGTTGAGGAAATCGGAGGACGCGACCCACTTCGCCACAGACGGTTCCGCGCCTCGCCGCTATGACGGCGACACGGCCGCAGCTCGTGTGCGTGTCGCCGTCTTTGTCCGGAGTGAAAAGTCCAACGCGCTCGTCGGTGACGGTGTCCTCCAACCTGCGCCGCGCTCGGCGAACCTCGACAGCGCTTTCGTTGGCATGCAGCTCTTTGCGCCTGAAGCTTGGAGAGCAGCTCCTCTGCTGTTCACACACTCTGCACAGTTGACACAGCCTACTGTGCGGCTGCCGCAGCTGTGACAGCGATGGGCTCGCCCTCACTGGCCCTCAGTCACTTGTGCTGCGGCTTGTGTGAGCGACACTGCTCGGCGACTGCCGGCACACTGTGAGACCATGGGCGTGAG